CTGATAGATTATTACAGGATGTATGAGCCAGTGGGAGAAACCACAGCATCAGTGGGGGTAACCGGTATTTGACCCATCCGACCAGGAGAAAGTGAAGCAGTGGAGTTTAAACATGCAGGCTGCTGGAATGGAAAGTATAAAGCAGGAGTAGAAAAATGTAATATAGGAGTCAGGGGCCAGTCTGTCACATCTAGGAGCCAGCAGATTTTTTTTTTTAGGAGCCAGCTCTATTGACAACAACAACTACAGAAAGCCTCAAATATTAGGTGCCAGCTGTATTTTTTTGAGGAACACTGGCTACTGGGATTTGTCCAACCCTGGTATACAGCCTTATTTTACACAAGGTATTCTTTGAGTACATGTGATCCTGTGGTGACAGGGTCACTTTAAACCTTCCCTGTATGTACTCCTAGTCATTCTCTTGAAGGGCCCTTACATTTCAGTCCCTCTAACACTTAAGCCTAGAGTGAGCCTTCAAAGAAGAACGCCAGGTTTAGAAAAATTAACCCCTTGCAGTAGGGCTTCCTCATGCACTGCAAGGGATAATGGCTCCTTTTTCTCTAGAGGTGAAAATAAAGGAATACTCACCTGATCGTATCAGTCTCACATTGATTTATATATTAATTTGCTTGCATTGCACATATCACACTTATATTTTGTCATTACATTCTTTATGCACAATATTTTTTAGGTTTATTAGCGCTGTACAGTTATACTGAGAACTAGTTTCAGCTGGCATGTGTCTAAATTGTCCATAGTGGATGTTTGGATGACAGTGGACTGTAAGCTACACTGAGAGAGGGGTTGTCAGATGGGGTTGTCAGATGGGGTTCACTGTAAAGGACTGTAGATTGTACACTGTATCAATGTTTATAGTAATATTTTGTTTTCCATTAGCAGGACCCCAACTACTGGATTCAAGTTCACCGTTTAGAACATGGTGATGGCGGCATTCTGGACCTCGACGACATTCTTTGTGATGTAGCTGATGACAAAGACAGAGTAAGTCTGAAGCTTAGAGTTTATATTTTTAATTTTGTTTTGTTGGTCTCGCTGTTAATATTGCTTCTCCATAAAGGATATCACGTGTTTCTGCCGTCTGCTTTTTATGCAGTTTATTAGTTGAAAAATGTAATTTCTAAAGTGTATTTGTCTCCTTACTTTGGAATTTTAATCTTTTATATTTCTGCATTTTTGCTCAGAGTCTAATTTGGACTCTGGATGGTGTTAATACTGAAAGAACCTAGCAAGGTGTGCATCCTTTGACAACAGTCCAAAAGAAAGTAAATTATGTTTTTAAAAATAAGCTATAACATGAAATGTCATAAAAAAACATTTCTCGGGGCGGGGTGCGGCTTTCTCCGCTTTTGCTGCTGCGTTCCTCCCCATTTGGCGGACTTCACCTTACTTTTTTTTAATAACGGAGAATAATTAAGAGGAAATCTGTATTAAAGTAACACAGGCATCAGTTTGGCTGCCTGTTTTCACAGGCAGGAAGTACACTTTAACCTCTTGCCGTCCGCCCGTAGTAAAAAAACGGACGGACGGCACTGCTACATCTGCGGGTTGCCGTCTCCAGACGGCAATTTTTTTCTGCTCGCGCGCGCCCCCTAGCGGGCACGCACGGGCAGGAAAGACCCGACGATTAAACACACCCGTTACCGGGTGTTTCACATATAGGCGATCAGCGGGTCCATAGCCCGCCGATCGCCTATATGTGCTAGATACATTTACAAGTAAGCAGTTTTTGTTCTCTAGTTGGGTCCTTTACAGTAGCTGGTGCACTAGAAGGTTGCATTGAGCCAGATTTTGAAAATAGACAATCACAGCTGTCTGCAGATAGAACAGTTGAATACGTTAATGTAAAGTAAAAAGAAAAAAGAAATCTGTCTCTATTTATTTTTAATGGAAGGGAAGGTGGGTAAAGGGCTAGTTTAAGAAAAATAGCAAGCTATGCAGTTACTATATAGTAGCGTCACCCATCTGATTAAAAACAATATGCTTCCCTTCTAACATACCTGCAGGCCATTTTTACAATGACAAAATGTCGATCGCGTTAAACATGTTTGGTATCGCTGTGCATGCCAGAGTGAGAGCAATAATTCTAGGGACAATATTTATGCGTATCTCTAAATTTATGACCTGTAGGGGCTCTTAAAGCGTTGTCTATGGACTTATTGAGGCACTGTATTTTGTCGCTGTTTTACAGATGAAAATAAGTATTTTATTGTGTTTTGGGGGACTAAATTTAACTTAAGTGCATTTTTTACAAAATGTTGGGGTTTTAGAAAGAGTTGTGCTAATATTGTGCAACATAAAAATTTGCAACTGCTGACATTTAATTCTACAGGGTCTTGGCTTTCAGAAACTATATAATATTTGGGGGTTTGAAGTAATTTTCAGGACTAAAATGTGTATTATAACGTGTGCACAAAACAAAAAATGCTGTGGCAGTGAAAGGTTCCTTAAGGGGTTAAACACCTTCCCTGCCATTAAAAAAACAATAGCAACACAAGGTATTTTTTTAATTTAATGTGTTAAATTAAACCTTTCTATATGCAGGCAGCTGTGATATTTTGTTTTTCTCCTCCTTGTGCCTCTTTGCAGCCATGGCATCTGAACCAATTGCGTACCGGACTTCCCCCGATATCCCACCCAATAGCTTGTATGCCTGGCTGTACTTGCCAAAAGTCTGCCCAGAGCAAATCAAACCACAGACAATCCCCAACAATAAAGCCTTTGAGATGCCTTCATTCTGTGTATGTGATCCCGGGAGATTTTGCTTTTCCTGCCATATTTGCGGCAATCCTTCTGGTGTGTATAGTTGCCATGAGGGGAATGCTTTTTGGCTCAGTAGAGCAGCACTCCGATATGAAGGTGATAGGGAGGTGTTCAGTAGTTGGATCAGGTGGCTGTTTCCATTCCAGGGAAGCGTATCTTGGGATCGGATGCCCAGAGATCTCTGTGCTCCTGTGTTTTGAATTGCCAGATTCCTGTCTGTGGAATGAGGATGGTAATACAGCCTGATGTATGAATCACTGGATTCTTTTTCTTTAATTTTTTTGTTCTTGAGAAATGTAGATGATCAAGCAAGGTGGGACAGGTCCAGATCGTCATATGCACAGCTCGGAGACGTTTTATTCTAGTTACATGAAATGACACAATACTGACAGGGCCATAATAGATATATCCAAGTCTTTCATTTGGATCAGTTTATACGGTGCTGTTGTAGCTAGAGGAATAACAAAATAAACCCCTTGCAATGGGGCTCCCCAGGCACCGCAAGGTTTAAATGCTTGTTTTTTAGTCTATGGTACCATTAAAAAGCACTTTTACATTTCCCTCCCTGCCCCAGCAGCTGGCACTCTTCTCTTCACTCAAGGATGTGAACGGGCCCTCTGCGTCCTCCCAATGCAGGACTACTGGTTCTAAATTGTACGTGATGATGTCAGCATATGACCAATGGACAGAGTCCCGAAGAGAAGCGGTTCTGGGGGGGCGGGTACCGGTTTCACAGAGAAGAGGACCCTACAGAAGAAAGGGCATAGCTGACCCCTGTAAAGTGTGGGGGCGCGGCCGACGCCTGTAGAATGTGGGGTCGCGGCCGACGCCTGTAGAATGTGGGGTCGCGGCCGACGCCTGTAGAATGTGGGGGCGTGGCTGCTGCATAGTCCTGCTGCTTACATCTGTGGTGCTATTTTATGTAAATTCCGACCAGAAGAGCGCTGGCTTGCCCCTCCGCTTCCCTGTTGAGTGGCAATGCTGGCCGGAATGGACTGGAATGACCATATTTTGAAAGAGGATGTCAGCCATAAAGTTTTCGAGTCAGCCGTCAGGCCGCACACTGCAGAATTGTGATTAATACATTTAAAAAAATCTGGTTTGGTAAAAATAGTAGGCAGTGGTTGCAAACCTTTCATCCATCCACTATTATTCTTCTTGCTGCAAGCTTCTCTCTGTGTAATGTGATCCAGATTTGCTTGTGAAACTTCATCCATTCCATATGCAGAGTCTCCAACATGTACATGAGCTCCCTGGAGGTTTCAGCGAGTTATGTTCAGGAATCATCACATGACAAATGCCACAAAGCTTAGATAAAACATGCCATTGCCATACCTTCACCGCAGCAGATGGGCGGCTGTTCCATCTTCCATTTACTTGTACAAATTCTTCTAAACTGTCTTTTGGTAACCCTTGACACTCAATTCTGTGGTGGAACAACAGTAGCAGTTGGGGAACAGCTACATGTGAAATGTTTGTAAAATATTTAATAAAAGTTTTAGGCATCATTCACACACACACCGCAAGAGCAAAATTGTATATTGCTTATATACGCGTATATGCGCGTATTTATATGCATATACGTGCACTATATGCAATCCCAGAATGCATCACTCGTAATGGAATTTTTAATGTGCTGTACGCATGTACGCGTATATGCGCATAAACACGCGTATATGCACATAAACACGCACATGTGCGCGTAAACACGCATATGTGCGCGTAAATACGCAGCAATACGCTGCCCGGTCGCATCTCTGTTCCACTCTGTTTTTGCGCATATATACGCTACGCAAATATACGGCTCCATACACGGCCATGTGAGCCATTGATTTGCATGTGTTGCATATGGTACAATACGCACGGTAGTGTGAATGAGGCCTAAAGCTGCAGTGTAAGTGAGAGATACTCCCGCAGTGTTGTCCCCTTTGCATTGCATGTGTCCTGCGGGATGGAATAAGGTGAAATACTTACACATGACCCTTTTGATTTCTTTGTAATATGAAATGTTTTACTGATTTGCTATTTATAAAAGCGGCACTCTGGTAATGATCAGTTTTTGGAAATCTACATATCTGATATCCGAAAGGTTGCTGGGGATGTTGAAAATCACTGCAGTAGTCCATGCTACATGTAGTGATGGTCGCCATCTTCCGGATGCTGCACCAGCAGCTTCCCCTCTGCACAATGAACACAGGAATTAGCTCGGCACCGCCGCCGTTTAGAGAACTTCTATTTTTTGATGAGGTGGACAGGAGGGGCGGATAACATCACAATCTCCACCTTGTCCAATCAGTGAATGCCCTATATTCATTGAAAAAATAAAATACAAGGCGTTCTGATTGGTGGCTGTTTCTAGCGAGCAAATTCCTGTTAGTGTGCAGGAGCAACTGGAGCCCGAGCCGGAAGATTACAGCTGTCAACGTATGTAGTGCAGACGACTACAGCGACTTTCAGCACACCCCAGCGGCCCTCCGGATAGCAGCTATGGATACCTAGATTGAGCAAAGCTGTACATCTCCAAAATAGGTAGTTCCTGAAATTCCATTTTGAAATGTGTTGCAAATTAAGCAAGTTGGTCAAGAAGGGGTTAATGCAGTAGCCAGTGAAAGATCTCCCCACCAGTAGCTGAGCCTTTGAAGTGCCACTACAGCCTGGCTGACATTGAACCCTTTCTCTGATGAACAGTTTAAGGGCTCATTCACGCGAACGTCTGCTGCAATGTGTATTTTTCTGCGCATTGCGAAAACCAGAAGGTATTCCAATGTCTCATTCCATCAGATATCCCAAAAACAAAAGGATTATTCCCCCATTTCAGGGCAGTGGGTGGAGCCATGCAAGCAACCAAATGCACACCTAGAACTGCTGATGTATTGTAGCTCTTGGTGTGTATTTGGCCTTTTTTGGTGGAAAAAAATGATTTGCATAGCTCCACCCACTGTCCTGAAATGGGGGGAATAATACACTAATTTTTGAGATGTGATGGAATGAGACATGTGAATACTTTCTGTTCAAAGAAAGCTTTACTGAGCAACGTGCTGATTTGGTTGGAGGGCTTCTCACATAACCTGTATGTTATACTATTACTGAAACACATGAAACATAGTACAGTGCGTTGTTTTGCCAATTAGTTTAGGTTCACACCTTGGCGGTACCTCACCGCGCAGCAATGGTGCACGATTCCACGCGGATTGCCGCACGGTCAGGAGTCGCCAAGGTGT